ACTGGGTTTTGCCATCGTTCATGGAATAAGATTTAAAGACACTATTATTGTTTATAATTTTAAAAAACAAAAAAATTATTGTTTATAATTTTAAAAAACAAAAAAAATTATTGTTCATAATTTTAAAAAACAAAAAAAACTTTGGGGACTCCTAAGCAGGTGACATCTGGCCACAACAGTTGACTGCTCTAATTCTGCTCCCAGAGTTGTTCTCTTCAGGGTATGGATATGGATCTTTTTAAAGGAGGGCTTTTGCAACAGAGGAAAATAAGAGAAACTTAAAAACAAAGAAAATTGACTTTCAGCTGCAGTAACAGAAGAATAAGAGAAATAATATAGAGTGTTTTTCTTGGAACTTTCCAGCAAGGGAATCAGATGAGAGGCTGTGAGGAAAGGCTTAATCCCATTGACTGTGAATCAGAGAACTTGAATTCCTTGGATCATCATAACTTCTCTGGAATACTTAGCAATAAGAAGCTGAAATTAAGGCTGAATTTCAGAACACTAACGAATACAAACATATTATATATTATTCCATAAACCACCTTAAGACTAGAGTAATTTGCATTAAAAGAGTAAGTTTTGGCAGACTGGAAAATAAGAAGAAATCTGAGGGTATGAAAAATTGTTGAAGTAGTGAACAGATACATGTCATCAATGTATAAAGGGGCCCAGGGCATTTATTAGCAGAAGGCCATGGAGTTCCACAGCCACCCTGAAATGGAGAAATTGTAAAATAATGTCTGCACTGGGGCCAGGCGCGGTGGCTCATGCCTGTAATCCTAGCACTTTGGGAGGCCGAGGTGGGCGGATCACGAGGTCAGGAGATCAAGACCAACCTAGCCAACATGGTGAAACCACGTGTCTACTAAAAATACAAAAAATTAGCCAGGCATGGTAGCAGGCACCTGTAATCCCAGCTACTCGGGAGGCTGAGGCAGGAGAATGGCGTGAACCCAGGAGGCAGAACTTGCAGTGAGCTGAGATCACGCCACTGCACTCCATCCAGCCTGGGTGACAGAGCAAGACTCCGTCAAAAAA